TCACGTCATGCCAGAAACTATACAACACATCACTTCTGGTTGCAAGCTCTTGGTACAGACAGATTACTTACATAGACACAATCAAGTAGCAAATATAATACACCAAGAGCTTGCAAAGAAACACAACTTGGTAGACATTCACGAACCATACTACAAATACATTCCACAGACATTATTGGAAAACAATACACACAAAATGTACTATGACAGAGCCATAATCACAGATAAAACTATTCACCACAACAGACCAGACATCACACTCATTGACAAACACAATAAAATCACGTATATTATAGACATATTCATTTCAAACACTCTCGATGTATAAAACATATCACTGAAAAAATTAGCAAGTATGCAGAACTCGCTCAGGAAATAAGGCATCTGTGGAGGATGGATAGGGGTGCTTATTGTATTTACTGTTCTCTCTTCTACAGATATCATACCATACACACTATACAAAAGCCAGGGAATATTACAATTGAATAGAAATACGTACATCACACTACAGAAGGCCACTATATTGAATACATGCCATGTTGTTAGGAAATTCCTGACTACAGACACACACACTGACACACTTATTTAATTTTAGCTTTGTTTTGGTTGCTATGCCTTGACTTTGGTCCAGCATAGTACACAGCCACCGGTGTGAACCGAGTATAACTCATAAAACCCAAAATAATAATAAAACACTAATGCTACAAGCAGAAATAGAATCTAATGATGATTGCACATAACCCACTGAACCCACACATCCACAAGAATAACATACACAGAACACAAATGATGAAATGCTAATCTCAACATTAAAAAAATACCTTTGAGAGATACCTTTTAAAATACAAGGCATAGATCCAATGCTAAGACAAAGAATACCCAGAATCTATACATGCAAGAAAATAGGAAAAATCATATATCACATGAATGCCCATATATTACCATTTTATGCCACATATACTACTAAGCTATAGGAAACTCACCTACTTATTTATGCAGGGTCTCTAACAGTCACAGTTATTCTGGGATTAAACCAATTACTGTTCACACTCACAAAGCTCCTAAACCAACAAAACTCAAATGGCAATGTAAATTACAATATACAGTATACAAAGTTGATTAATGGCTATGTACAACATTGATTCAAGGTGATTTTGCACATTGAATCAACTTTGTACATAGCCAGGTAGTCTGATAGAATTTATGAAACACAATGCAAATATAAAATCAAAGAAATATCTCTGGAAAATATTCAAGAAATTACAAAAAAACACACACAGTAAATATGAAGAATGTAACTGTTGTATATCAGAATTTGTTGAAACACTCAAGCTGCCAAATCCCAAAGACTCTAGGTGCAAAATCTGCATGTAAGGAATAAAAGGGTGTCCAAAGAGGAACAAATGACTGTTTAAGGGAGTGGTATGGTGTGTCTGCTCACATATAGTAGCAAAAGTTGAGTAAGACAGAAGAGTCATAGGAGTTGATTATGGAAAATGGGTTTTAGTTAATTAAAAGTTTGTAAATTGTTTAATCCAAGTATATACTAATTTTGAAGCCTGCATCTCTGTGAATAATAAAATATCTGATATATTTTATACATTAAAAGGTATAACTCTGTTTAATACTTTTTTACTGTATTAAGTCCTACACTGTTTAATTTATATTTATGTGAATTGTGAATTTGTGAAAGTATCTCATCATCTGATCTTTTATGGAGAGATTTTGAAGAAATAAAAATCAAATTAATTTCATATGCTTATGATTTAGTTGCTCTAACAGATTCCCCTGCAGAAAATGATTTTTCTTCTTCCTATGTAATATATTGTGGCTGTATGCCTTTTTATTCTGTATAGTTTTAAGTTTAATTTATATTCTATTTCTATAAATTTATCCTTCCTTCCAATTTTCTTTGTTCCTTTGTCTCGAACTTCCGAGAAATGAGACTTACCCCTAGCCCACCAGGAGATAGGGGAGAAACAATAGAGGGCGACGACACTGGAGGGAAAAAGAGAGACATTCCAGTGGACATTCTTGGGCCAGACACGAAAGGAGACGGACATGTGGCAGCAAGGCTCATGAGTTGGAAATCAGCAAGCACTTCAGAAGAGGGCCTTAAGGAGTTGATTGAGAAGAGAATCTGATCAATAGATCTGGAAGCAAACCCTAAGAAAAAGCCATTTTAAAAGAGGAGAATGTATGAGCATTGGAAGTTGAGACAAGGAACTGTGTAGAATCTTTGCTGAAAAATTGGGTACCCATCTGTCCTATGACTCTTCTTACTTCCCTTTCTTTCTATCCTCTTTCTATTATATTTAAGTTTGATAAAGATTTAACTACACAGATTACTGTTATGATACAAACACCGAGGATAATTGGAAATGTGTAAAGGAACAGTGGGAATCCATAAAGAATTTGTAAATATTTATCTCTATCATGAAATTAAATTCATTTTAATTGATTAACACGTGTGTGTTTTTCTTTTCGCATTGTACCTCTTACAATATAATATGACAGACATATAGTAGCAAAAGTTGAGTAAGACAGAAGAGTCACAGGAATTGCATTATTGCTTTTGAGATGAGATATTTGACAGGAGTGCATGGCTTAATGAGGAGAGACTATGTGAGAAATGAACAAGTGCTAGAAGAATGTGGAATGAAACAATGCATGATTTTAAAAGGTGAGTAAATTGGCTCTATGATGATTTGGAAATATTGAGAGAAAGAAAGGTGAAGCACTGTTCAAGAGAGTTTAGATGGGAAAGGTGAATGGGAAGTATGGCAAGGAAAGGCCAAGATAGTCTTGGTTGGAGCAAGTGAATGAGTATGAAAAAGAACATAAAGTGTTGAGTCAGAAAGAATGTGAGAAGTGTGCTAGAAGAGGAAAGAGTGTGTCTGAAGCAAAAGAGGTGTGTCTGGACAGGAAGATGTGGAAAAAGTTGCTGAATGGCTGATTTGTAGGATTTTACTCTCCTTTTGCCTACTACTAACTCTGTTTGGATTATCGTGAACATGAGGATATGCATGTCTGTCATTTATACTAATAATATAAAGAGATAATGTTTGTAAATAAGTAAGTTTGGATGTAGCGGGTAATCTCAGAAACTACTCATCCGATTTCAAAAATTCTTTCACCAATATTTAGAATGGAACTTCAGGGTGGACATAGGCTATATATTATTCTGGTAAACATTCATATAAATTAAAAGATATCATCTAGGGTTAAGGCTTTTATGTCCAACAGATGGCGCTACGAGTACAACAACCTAAGTTGCTTTTCTGTGAGGATGAACTAAAGCAAATCATCTATCTATCTATCTGCATAAATAAAAACGTAATGTTCGTTTGTTCCTACCGATTCCTTTGAAATTTTGACACAAAGCTGCATTTGAATACTCATGTGTTTTTATATAATATACATGTCAAAATTTTCCCCACTGTGGGGAGATGGTTAGGGTTAAGGCTTACTGTAAAGAACTCTGCTTCTATTTATACTATTTTAGATGCGGTTTTTTGGATTTTTTTTTTTTATTGCGTTTTAATACGGTGCATCAACAGAATATATATTAAAAAAGGATTTTTCGATATTCCCCCGCGGGGGAGAGGAACAGGATTAAGGCTTACTGTGAAGAACTTGGCTTCTACTATACTATTTTAGATGTGTTTTTTTGCGTTTTAATAGGGTATGTCAACAGAATGTACACTAAGAAGGGATTTTTCGAAAAATCCCCCCATGGGGAAAGTGTTATACATTTATAATAGATACATTTTGAGCCACAACAATGCGTGGAGGGGTCTGCTAGTATTATATATTAATGGGTTGTTTGGAAAGTAAATTCGTTTTTTTCCGTGAAAAAAAAAACCACAATANATATAAAGTCTACAAATTCTTTAAATTAATAAAATTATAATCAAATTAGCTTTAATTATTACTTTTATTTTTTGAAATTAGTACAAGACTTCAAAGGAACTTAGCTGAAAAGCAAAGAAGATACAAACTGAACAGTTACATCAGTGAATTAGCCAACATTGTTCCTATGGTTTCCATGTCAAGTAAAAGACTAGATAAAACAAGTATTTTGAGGTTAAGTGCAGCTCATTTAAGAATCTATCAAAGTATGTATAAGTATATATAATTTTTGTTCTAATGTTTGTTTCGATATTAAGCTATAATTTTCTAAAATGTTTTATAAAAGCTGAAACATTATTATATTTATACATCATACAAAATAGCTGTATAAAATAGTGAAGCTACAGGGTGATTTGTATAAACATGAACCCAAATGTTTTTATTATAAAACCTAACCAAATGAATGGAAATTTATGAGATTTTCAGGAAATGTATCTCCACTTACCTTGAACACATCACATCACAGCAAGTATTGGAAGTGGCCACTGCTTCTGATAGGCACATGTCAATAACACATCTCAATGTTGCATCATCAATGTTTGTAATCTCATTCCTACTGTTATTCTTTAAGACATCAATCATTTATGGTTTGTTATGGTATCCTCTTTCCTTAAGATAGCCTCACAAAAAGAAGGCTAGGCTACTAAGATTGGACAACTTTGGCAGCCCCAGATTTTTGGAGATGATATGGTCCTCAAAAAACTCTTGATTGTTGCCATTGACTTCTGTGGTGTGTGACAAATCACTTCAACTTGCTGAAAGTAGCCCTTAGTCAGTTCTACTTCATAAAGTTATTCAACAAATTCTGTGAAAATCCACACATATGCAGCATGTAGTGTTTCTCTAAAAAAATGGTTGAGTTGTGCCTAAGTTACCACCTAGCAGCAAGTTTCAGCACTCAATGTATTCAACACAAGTGGAGGCACATTTCCTGAAAATCTCATTGATTTTCATTCATTCATTTAGGTTTCTAATACAAAATTTCTGTTTGGGTCTATATGAATCACCCTGTATCAACAGTCTTACTAATTAATATCAAATTTTATTTGGATGACACCATTTTACATATAAATATAAAATACAATCAATAATGCTTATCTATATATATAATTGGGATGGGTTGATGATTATAATCAGTGCAGAGCCCAAATGGTTAGGAGTTGAAAGTTGAAATTTGGTACACAGTTAGGGTACATCACGAGAACACACACTAAGAAGGGATTTTTCGAAATCCCCTTGGGGAGAGAGGGACAGGATTAAGGTTTCGACAATGGAAGTGTTAAGTAACAATGGAAGTGTCAACAATGAAAGTGTTAAGAGAAAGTGATGTGCAAGATTTACAGACGCAGATGCAGTTTTTTTGTTTTGCAAGAAATCAAACATTTTTAACCCATCTAAAAATTCTCTAATTAGTCTGGAAACAGGGGGACCTAATTCTTGCATTATTTGAAAACGGGTAAGATTGTCTATAATGTAATAATCTTAATCTTCGCTATTGTTACTTTTTGCCCAAGCAATGCCGTGCCTATCTGGTAGTACTTAATATTTTACAATATTCTTAAGATAATTTAAAATAAGTTCTTCCAAAATAATAATAAGTTTTCTGAAAATTAATTTATTATAGAATTTATAGCTTCTACACATTCTATTCAAATACAAAAGTTTTTGTATTTTCCTCTTTAAGAAAAGTACTGGTGTTACCATTGAATTTTTAACATATTTAAAAAGCTAAAAATGAGCAAACAGAGAAATGAATTTGTTATCCTGTATTATCTATTGAAAGAGTTTACTATTGGAAGTAAGTATATGAATCACGTACTCTGAACCAATTATGGTGTATAGATAATGAAAATAAATAAAAACGAATGTTTTTGAACTTTTTTGAGTTCTTCATTGGGGGTTTTTTTGTTTGTTTTCATTATCTACACACCATAATTGGTTTAGAGTATGTGATTAACTATATCCTGGTGTGGTGAATGGTTTTGAAATTAAAGTTGTATACAAAGTTTAAAATTCTATATTAACATTAAAAGTATACCTTTCATACTTTTCCAACTTGAGTTTATTTACAATAAACAAACAAATGTTTTCAGTTTATTCATAAACGTGCTTTAGGTCAAGCAATATCATGGCATCATAATTTACATTTTCTCTCCATATGAAGTTGCTCCTTGTTTCCAGATGGTTGTCAAAGAACTTCCAAGCACCAGAAAGGGAATCAGTCTTTATAATTAATGCATTTATTTTTTAATGCTGCTTTGTAGATCTCTAGTGTATTGAGTGTTCTTAAATGCTGTTCATCAAAAGCTGATTTTATAATCTAAGCTTTGTTTATTATTGCAGACACCTTGAGCTCTGTTGTGCTTTGCCAAAGTAGTTGTTAGTTTATTATTATCTATATTGTTTTTGTGTTCATTTTGCCTGCATTTTGACAATCTATTTGCAGAACCCATGTACATAAATTGATGTTCAAATCTTTCATATGTTACTGGGATGGAGTGTACACATGGTGCGTTATATAGTTTATATCATCTTTACTATTATGTAGTAACTTTTATACTGTGGGGTTTCTCCAGAAGCAAAGTTTAGCTTTCAAATATTCAGCTATTTGCTTGTATATGGCTGAAACTCTACGGTTGTAATCAACAGTTATTTGTTAGTTCAATGTAGCAGGTGAATTTGTGCTTCCAGGCATTTGTATCTTCTGTAGTTGTGGTTCCTGTTCATAGACAACATTCTTTAAATATCAACAAAAATAAAAATCATGTGAACTCAAGTCCAGTGATTGTGTGGATTATTGTATTGGTCCACATTGTCCAATTCACTTTCAATTAATGTACAGTATAATCACAATATACAATAGAAGAATTGGGAATTTCCATCCAAAAAAATGAAATTAATCCCATCTTCACTGATTATAGTGCTATCCATGGTAAAACCAATAGTTCCACTGTCTCTCATTGTGGCCCTCTTGAAATCTAACATTTTTAATTCAGTGATATTTTTTGTAGGATACCTATTTTTTGAGTTATTCCATAGGATAGATTAAAATGAACCATTTAGGCTAAACATATAATTGTTATAAATAAAATAAAATAAAATAGTCCTCAAACCTTTAACCGGTGTATGAAGAGATTGTATAATTGTTATAAATTCCAATGACATAAAAGAGTTGCATGATTGCTAGAAGCCTAAATTAAATTAGATAGATTTTTTTCTAACATAGTTATCAGACTTATACAGGAAACTTTGAAGTAGAAATATAATAAGCTTTTTATTTTTCTATAAATTATTGGATTAAATATTTAAATACTACATAAGATTCGAATATAGCTGTTATTTTTATACAATAATTTGAAAAAGTTTTTTTAATTAAATGCCTTGTTCATTTTTAAAATGTTGCTGTTTAGAAAGCTGTTTCATAAGGCATTTTTTGGAATGTCAGTTTGAAATGTTAAACTGATGATGGCTCAAGAAGAACCAAAGACGTTTTTAAAAATAAACAATTTGGGTATCTTAAGAAGCAGTAGTAGTCTCTTTCTTTATAGATGTTGTCAGCAGACATTTAATTATATCAAAATTAGTATAAAAAAAAAAAAACTTTGATAACTACAGTCAAATTTTTATTGCAATGATCATTGTCTTCAGGCAATAGACATTCTTGAAAAGTTGAGGCTGATGGAATAAAAATACATATGGATGATTATGCATAATTATTGTTGTTCTTAATCAGTTCTTAAAACATTAATCATTTTAATTGTTATTTGCTCATTCTACAATAATACAAAACATTTTTTACTTCAATATTCTAACTGTTGTTACTTTGAGCTAGCATGACATGGTCTGAGAGACCATTAAGGAATTATTTAATTTTTCTGTAACTTTTCTTGTTAGCAAAAAGAATTGTCTCTCCCTACACTTTTAAATGAACTTACTGTCTGCCAGTTTAAAAGCAATGCACATAATAAGCTGTTATAGTATTAGTTTTATTCTAATTTGTTTTCATGAACATTCTCTAAGACCACTGCAAGCAAGTAACACAAAAAAAAAATCTAGTAAAATTAAGTTACTGCATAATATTGATGTTACTAATGTATAATATAATAAAACTACAATTTAATTTAAAATCCAAATACTATCTAATATTATAGGTGATATTGACATATTATTATCTAATTATTTATAATTTCAAAAATGTTTGTAGCATTTCCCAATGTGATTTCATGAAGATTTTAGTGAAATTAATTGGCATATTCACTGACATGTAGGAGATAGGAAAATACAAAGATTCCTAAGGAATTCTCCTACAACATTAAAACAATTTTTAGTCTTGTTGATGAAAAAACATAGAAATCGTAGCTACAGAAGAAGACTTTAAGAAATGAAAGACTTGTTTTTTCTACCCTGCAAAACTGAAAATAAAAACTAAATGTCCATGTTTGATGCATAAAGATTGTGCATGCACAATTAAGGCATAAAAATAATTTTTGTGTAAATAATACATATTTCTAAATAAAATTAATTAATAATTCTGACATTATTACAACAAAATTCAATTTATTTTTTATTTTATATTACAAATAAAGTCCATAGGACTGGAGATAACTGCTCCTAAATTAACAATGATAGTAAAGATGGTACTATTATACTATAGAATATCAGGCATTGAATGAATTACTATTAAATCATTATAATACAGTAGAATCTCTAGAGTCTGTCACTCAACAGTCTGACATGTTTCGTAATCCAGCACTTTGCCTTAGGGCAGCAAAATTTATGTTACTACTTGATGTATGTGACAGAGAGAGACTGATGTACAGTACAATATGTGTATACTGTCAGTCACTAATTGTTTGTTGCATTTGCAATTGACAACGTCACAATTATGATTAATATGATAAGCCAGTGTTTTTCAAAGTGGGCAATACACACCTGAGGGCATTTGAATTATCCAAGGGAGCATTAGGCATGATAAGAGGGCCTGTGTACACAGAACAGGGACATTAATAACAGTCACAACCAAGGGGATGGTGATCCAAAACAGTTTGAGAAGCACTGTGATAAACTAATCTTTTATTCAAGTGTACAGTATACACAGTACAGTACATACATACAAAATTCAGTAATTTGATGGGTGTCCAATATATGTCAGATTACAGAGACCCTACTGTAATTAGAATTAATTAATATTCAAGTTATGAAACAAAACAATCTAAAGAACCATAATCAACTCCAGTAAATATAAATTTTTAAATTTAAAATACATTTGAAAACTGGAAAATGTTTTTGAGACATTTACAGTGCTGTAAACATCTCTCAAAACCCAATTCATTAATATAAAGCCACACCAACTGCCATATAAGATCAGGCTATTATAATTTCAGCAATTATAATCACCAAAAAATAGACCAATCTTATACAATAGTTGGTGTGGCTTACAATGTTTTTCTATGAACATTGCAATTCAGAAACGTTGGACCTAAAGGTCATTGAGGTGATAAAAAACATTAATCATGAAAAACAAAGTCTAATGTGTTTTTATTCAAGTTATACATTTTTTTAGTTTCAACACATCTTTTTAATGTCAGAATCAATAAAATTAGAATTTCCACTGAATGTAGTCTTATTTAATTAAGTCCCCTGTTTAATGTTGGTTATTATTATTGATATAGATTAGTTGCAAATAACTTCAGAATTCACCTATATCTAACCTATACCTATATTACCTTTTACCTATTTTGATTTTCTGATTCAATTATTTATTGTATATAACAATAAATAATCAAATTAGATATAATATGATATAATATATGAAAAAAGGTTTAGCATATTACTTTTTTCTTGCAGCAGTGAATTTGTTGTCTATTCTATTGTTGTTGTATTATACTGTGTTATTTTGTAATTCAAATATTAAAATATTTAAAATTATAACTTATGAAATTTAATTATATTTGAATTAAATTATTAAATGTATTTAATTATAGGTCCTTTAATTGGTAATCATAAACATTCATTAAAACCTTACTTTAAATGGAGACCAAACTGTCTTGATGCAGATAACATATGGAAAATATTAGAGGTAAGTTTTTAATTGATTACAAAATCATTGTACTGGTACAATATATGTGGTAGCATATAATCTGCACCAGTGTATACCTGTTGAAGGCAATATTTAGTTCAGAAGGTACCATCTCAAACTTTAAAACACATTTTTTTTATATCTGTTAGCATCATATTCTTTTGGAGTTATACATTGGACTCACACAGATCTTGAGCAACTCCAAAGGAAAACAAGAACTAAGCATAAACAACATCATCCTAAATCCTCCACAGAAAGATTAACCCTTCCACATAAGGATAGTGGACATGGCCTGATTGACATACTGTATATTTGTGCAGATAAGACAAGGTATAAATTTTCATCAAAGTTTTATAGTTTTAGCATATATCTGTCCTATAAGACGACCCCCAAACTATTAATGGCCTATGAATTTAGTTTAGATCAGCAATCATCATCTAAATAATAATACTATGTAGCATATTCAGTATTATGTCCTATTCGTAATTTTTCGAATGAACAAATTTTATTTTCTTGCATCTGGCAGCACTGCTTTGCTATTGTTGCAGAAATTCCCACTGATTCGGGCATTTGAGTAATGACCTTGACTATTCACAAAAACGTTGTATGGGCTATTCTATTTTGTGGACAAACCCTACTCTCCACTAGTAAATAAGTTCAGTTTTTCCATTTTTTTATAATGATTTTAATTTATATAAATTCCAATCTAATTTTTTTTTGTATCTGTCCTATAAGACGACCCTGGATTTTGGGAGTCATTTTTTATAATTCAACTATTATCTTATCTGTGCAAATATACGGAGGTTACCCTTCACTACAAACAAGTACAGTCACTGTGAGAGTTTTTTTACAAGCAAGAAACATCACAGTTACATAAAGCAGTAACTCTAGCAGACTCAGATAACACACACTAAAATTTACACCCACAACACATGGATACAACACAACATATAAAAAGCACACACACCATTAAGCAATCATGGGTTGAAAAGGCACTCCATGGCAGGCATCCCTATGACTTCGCCCAGGATTTTGTTGACAAAACTGCATCAATCAGCTGGTTAGCTCGGGGATGCCTCTTTGGGGAGACAGAAGGATTCATGATTGCCATACAAGATCAGCTCATAAATACTAAAAACTACTGAAAACACATACTCAAAGATACAACATTCATGAATAACTCATGCAGAAAATGTCACGTCATGCCAGAAACTATACAACACATCACTTCTGGTTGCAAGCTCTTGGTACAGACAGATTACTTACATAGACACAATCAAGTAGCAAATATAATACACCAAGAGCTTGCAAAGAAACACAACTTGGTAGACATTCACGAACCATACTACAAATACATTCCACAGACATTATTGGAAAACAATACACACAAAATGTACTATGACAGAGCCATAATCACAGATAAAACTATTCACCACAACAGACCAGACATCACACTCATTGACAAACACAATAAAATCACGTATATTATAGACATATTCATTTCAAACACTCTCGATGTATAAAACATATCACTGAAAAAATTAGCAAGTATGCAGAACTCGCTCAGGAAATAAGGCATCTGTGGAGGATGGATAGGGGTGCTTATTGTATTTACTGTTCTCTCTTCTACAGATATCATACCATACACACTATACAAAAGCCAGGGAATATTACAATTGAATAGAAATACGTACATCACACTACAGAAGGCCACTATATTGAATACATGCCATGTTGTTAGGAAATTCCTGACTACAGACACACACACTGACACACTTATTTAATTTTAGCTTTGTTTTGGTTGCTATGCCTTGACTTTGGTCCAGCATAGTACACAGCCACCGGTGTGAACCGAGTATAACTCATAAAACCCAAAATAATAATAAAACACTAATGCTACAAGCAGAAATAGAATCTAATGATGATTGCACATAACCCACTGAACCCACACATCCACAAGAATAACATACACAGAACACAAATGATGAAATGCTAATCTCAACATTAAAAAAATACCTTTGAGAGATACCTTTTAAAATACAAGGCATAGATCCAATGCTAAGACAAAGAATACCCAGAATCTATACATGCAAGAAAATAGGAAAAATCATATATCACATGAATGCCCATATATTACCATTTTATGCCACATATACTACTAAGCTATAGGAAACTCACCTACTTATTTATGCAGGGTCTCTAACAGTCACAGTTATTCTGGGATTAAACCAATTACTGTTCACACTCACAAAGCTCCTAAACCAACAAAACTCAAATGGCAATGTAAATTACAATATACAGTATACAAAGTTGATTAATGGCTATGTACAACATTGATTCAAGGTGATTTTGCACATTGAATCAACTTTGTACATAGCCAGGTAGTCTGATAGAATTTATGAAACACAATGCAAATATAAAATCAAAGAAATATCTCTGGAAAATATTCAAGAAATTACAAAAAAACACACACAGTAAATATGAAGAATGTAACTGTTGTATATCAGAATTTGTTGAAACACTCAAGCTGCCAAATCCCAAAGACTCTAGGTGCAAAATCTGCATGTAAGGAATAAAAGGGTGTCCAAAGAGGAACAAATGACTGTTTAAGGGAGTGGTATGGTGTGTCTGCTCACATATAGTAGCAAAAGTTGAGTAAGACAGAAGAGTCATAGGAGTTGATTATGGAAAATGGGTTTTAGTTAATTAAAAGTTTGTAAATTGTTTAATCCAAGTATATACTAATTTTGAAGCCTGCATCTCTGTGAATAATAAAATATCTGATATATTTTATACATTAAAAGGTATAACTCTGTTTAATACTTTTTTACTGTATTAAGTCCTACACTGTTTAATTTATATTTATGTGAATTGTGAATTTGTGAAAGTATCTCATCATCTGATCTTTTATGGAGAGATTTTGAAGAAATAAAAATCAAATTAATTTCATATGCTTATGATTTAGTTGCTCTAACAGATTCCCCTGCAGAAAATGATTTTTCTTCTTCCTATGTAATATATTGTGGCTGTATGCCTTTTTATTCTGTATAGTTTTAAGTTTAATTTATATTCTATTTCTATAAATTTATCCTTCCTTCCAATTTTCTTTGTTCCTTTGTCTCGAACTTCCGAGAAATGAGACTTACCCCTAGCCCACCAGGAGATAGGGGAGAAACAATAGAGGGCGACGACACTGGAGGGAAAAAGAGAGACATTCCAGTGGACATTCTTGGGCCAGACACGAAAGGAGACGGACATGTGGCAGCAAGGCTCATGAGTTGGAAATCAGCAAGCACTTCAGAAGAGGGCCTTAAGGAGTTGATTGAGAAGAGAATCTGATCAATAGATCTGGAAGCAAACCCTAAGAAAAAGCCATTTTAAAAGAGGAGAATGTATGAGCATTGGAAGTTGAGACAAGGAACTGTGTAGAATCTTTGCTGAAAAATTGGGTACCCATCTGTCCTATGACTCTTCTTACTTCCCTTTCTTTCTATCCTCTTTCTATTATATTTAAGTTTGATAAAGATTTAACTACACAGATTACTGTTATGATACAAACACCGAGGATAATTGGAAATGTGTAAAGGAACAGTGGGAATCCATAAAGAATTTGTAAATATTTATCTCTATCATGAAATTAAATTCATTTTAATTGATTAACACGTGTGTGTTTTTCTTTTCGCATTGTACCTCTTACAATATAATATGACAGACATATAGTAGCAAAAGTTGAGTAAGACAGAAGAGTCACAGGAATTGCATTATTGCTTTTGAGATGAGATATTTGACAGGAGTGCATGGCTTAATGAGGAGAGACTATGTGAGAAATGAACAAGTGCTAGAAGAATGTGGAATGAAACAATGCATGATTTTAAAAGGTGAGTAAATTGGCTCTATGATGATTTGGAAATATTGAGAGAAAGAAAGGTGAAGCACTGTTCAAGAGAGTTTAGATGGGAAAGGTGAATGGGAAGTATGGCAAGGAAAGGCCAAGATAGTCTTGGTTGGAGCAAGTGAATGAGTATGAAAAAGAACATAAAGTGTTGAGTCAGAAAGAATGTGAGAAGTGTGCTAGAAGAGGAAAGAGTGTGTCTGAAGCAAAAGAGGTGTGTCTGGACAGGAAGATGTGGAAAAAGTTGCTGAATGGCTGATTTGTAGGATTTTACTCTCCTTTTGCCTACTACTAACTCTGTTTGGATTATCGTGAACATGAGGATATGCATGTCTGTCATTTATACTAATAATATAAAGAGATAATGTTTGTAAATAAGTAAGTTTGGATGTAGCGGGTAATCTCAGAAACTACTCATCCGATTTCAAAAATTCTTTCACCAATATTTAGAATGGAACTTCAGGGTGGACATAGGCTATATATTATTCTGGTAAACATTCATATAAATTAAAAGATATCATCTAGGGTTAAGGCTTTTATGTCCAACAGATGGCGCTACGAGTACAACAACCTAAGTTGCTTTTCTGTGAGGATGAACTAAAGCAAATCATCTATCTATCTATCTGCATAAATAAAAACGTAATGTTCGTTTGTTCCTACCGATTCCTTTGAAATTTTGACACAAAGCTGCATTTGAATACTCATGTGTTTTTATATAATATACATGTCAAAATTTTCCCCACTGTGGGGAGATGGTTAGGGTTAAGGCTTACTGTAAAGAACTCTGCTTCTATTTATACTATTTTAGATGCGGTTTTTTGGATTTTTTTTTTTTATTGCGTTTTAATACGGTGCATCAACAGAATATATATTAAAAAAGGATTTTTCGATATTCCCCCGCGGGGGAGAGGAACAGGATTAAGGCTTACTGTGAAGAACTTGGCTTCTACTATACTATTTTAGATGTGTTTTTTTGCGTTTTAATAGGGTATGTCAACAGAATGTACACTAAGAAGGGATTTTTCGAAAAATCCCCCCATGGGGAAAGTGTTATACATTTATAATAGATACATTTTGAGCCACAACAATGCGTGGAGGGGTCTGCTAGTATTATATATTAATGGGTTGTTTGGAA